CCTGGAAGAAATTGCTGTTAAGCAATAAGGCCGCCATTTGTTTACTCAATGTTTTTTTTTTTAAATAATAAGCTCCTGTAAACATTGTATCATATTGAGTGCAATAAAGTATATTATTATTATTATTATTATTAAAATTAGAATTTATCAAAACAACAGATAGATAGTTATAGTTCCATATTGGTTTGGGAGTAAAAAATGAACCTAGAAAATTCTAGCCTCATAGCAAAAGAAAATGGAAAGTTGCCCAACTCTTTCAGACTAACATTCAAAGTTTCAACAAAACTATTATATATATTTTTAAAATTTATCTTGATAATAAAATGTTCTGCACTGCTGCTTCTGTGATCCTCTTTTTTCTAATGTTATAATGAATGGAGTATAGTAATATTGACAAATAATATAATGTAAATAAATATATACAAAATAAAAAATACTATGAGTACAATAAATGCTATTGGAACTTATCCTGCCCCCTGATTGTCTAATTTTAAATCTATCGCCATTGCTTACAGTTTGAAAGATGTTGTATAACCATTGCTTGTTTCTGAGGACAGTTGAAAAAAAGTATTTGTATTATGCAGCAATGGTTGTGCAACATCTTTCAAACTGAAAGCAATTGCAATAGATTTAAAATTAGACAATTAGGGGTCTGAACGGATTCCGATGATTTAAAAAGTATTGTTGTTAATGGTTCAAAATAAATAAAAATACTAATTTTCTGTTACAATATTAAGAATATAAAAACAGACTTATAACCACACTCATTATTAAATTAATATACAAACGCATACCAAACGAAGTCAATATGGTAAATCTCTGATTAAATGTATTTTTATCGTCCATACTTTTATTTAGTTTATACTAACTAACACACCAAGAATCGATTAAATGTTTCCAGGCACTTCACTACCCATCTACCGTAATCTATTAAGTTGCTATTTAAAACGGTGATTTCGCGATGTTCTTTACATTATGTGCTTAGTACGACACAATGTAATAAATATGCGCACTTCTCCAGCAATGTATATTTTCTTGGAAATATTTTTTATGATTCACACTTTTGATAACATTTCACGAATTTCGATTAAAAATACTAAATTTGAGAAGTGTTCTACTTACTAATGGAAAGAAATCCTTCCTTTGGACCTACTTGAGGATGGGCTTCTTGTTTTGCAATTAATAACTGTGCAAGTCGGCATTTTTAACACTTTTAGTGGCGTGTTTCACAGTACTTACAGCGCGCGCGTTCGTGGATGACTAAACATCGTGATCGTGTGTTGAAGCCACGATCCTATACATTTGTCCAGGATCGTGGCTACACTGCCACGCCCACAAGGCCCTTCTAACGTCTTTCTGTGTTCTGTGCAAATTACTACACTCCTATTAAATTAATATACAAACGCATACCAAACGAATTCAATATGGTAGTCAAGAATAGGGTTACATTTTATTTATTGCTATTGTTAATCTCTGATTAAATTTATTTTTTTTATTATCACTATTTTTATCGTCCTTACTTTTATTCAGTATTTACTAACACACCAAGAATCGATTAAATGTTTCCAGATCTTCACTAGCCATGTACCGTAATCTATTGTTGCTTTTTAAAAACGGTGATTTCACGATCTTCTTTACATTACGTGCTTAGTACGTCGCAATGTAATAAATATGCGCACTTCTCCAGCAATGTATATTTTCTTGGAAATATTTTTTATGATTCACACTTTTGATAACATTTCACGAATTTCGACTCAAAATACTAAATTTGAGAAGTGTTCTACTTACTAATGGAAAGAAATCCTTCCTTTGGACCTACTTGAGGATGGGCTTCTTGTTTTGCAATTAATAACTGCGCAAGTCGGCATTTTTAACACTTTTAGTGGCGTGTTACACAGTACTTACAGCGCGCGCGTTCGTGAATGACTAAACATCGCGATCGCATGTTGAAGTCACGATCCTATACATTTGTCCAGGATCGTGGCTACACTGCCACGCCCACAAGGCCCTTCTAACGTCTTTCTGTGTTCTGTGTTGTTGACTGTAGGTTACTAATATACGAACGTTTCCAGGCGAGATAAAAACAAACACATAGCTTCAAAACCATTTATATACTACAAAACATGATATGCTGTCTCTACATTATTACATATTTATATGAAAAATATAACATTTATCCTCTGTTATACCCGAGTTTACAATATGATCATTCTATACATAAGTACTATGTAGTTTCTTGCAACACAAGGAAGATTTTTTAATAGTTGTCATGCTTGTTCGCTTCAATGCAGATCTTTTAGTATTTGATATTACTAAATAATAAGTAAACAATGCAAAAATAACCGTATGCCTAATAAAACTTACACGCCATCACAATACATATAATCACCTCAGGTGGGAAACAAGCATTCAGAAATTACTTAATATTATGAAGTTTCTCACTTAAAAATTTTACTTAATCTACATCACTCGAATACCTGTTAGCTATACTATAAAAATACATGATGGTTCCTGACAACCATTTTCATTCATTTTTCATTTACTAGAAAATTTTCAATCACTTTATAACATTATCGAAGTTTCAATGAAATTAAATACACAAACTCTCTTTTCTTATATAATTTCCTGTGACATGATAACTAGATAGGTAACTATGCTTAAATTTTGGAGTATGTACTGGTACTGTTAAAGAAAATTTTCTTTTTATATTGATATATTACAATGTAAATATTTCGATAGTTTTAAAACTATGACAACCCAGAAAAAAAAATGTCAAAGTCAATGTCACACTGACATATATAGGCATGAATTAAAAAAGAAGAAGAAGAAGGGATGCCCTTAATACAATCGATCATTAGCGATGCCCGCAGTAGTCCACATTTTGCTTCCAACAGTACATTCCTCCAATAATGAGAAATTAAAAGTAATTAATATTGCAATGAATATTAATTACTTTTCATTTCTTATTCTTATACATATTTATAAAAAAATTGAACATTTTCACAGTAGTAAATGAAAAATAAGCGAAGGCGACATACCATGTTAGACTAGAAGATCAATTATTTATTAACATCTATGTTATATTATCTGAATCAAGCAAAATAAGGACGGAGACTCACTCCAAGCTCGTAATTATCACTTTTATAATATACTGATTTTAGATGAGTACCTTGTGTGATACATAAATTTATAATTTGGGACACCATAGAAAAAATATACTGGATTTGATTATACATAGTAGTAGATTATACCCTGAGTCCAAACGTTATATTATAGTCTCACCAATATCAATAAATTTCTTTTTTTATTGAGTACGAAAAATATCAACTGTCAATATTTTCTTACACAGAATAACTTTGAATGAGGTAGATGATAATGAAAACAAAAAAGAAAATATGTTTGTACGAAATGCTTGGATTCAAATCACTTTAACGTCACGTCCTAATAAGACGATTAAGTAAATTCACCATTTAGAAAAACTAACCAATTTCAAGGCATTTGTGACGTTAAAAAATATAGTCACCCTTTCACATAGTATTGTCCGAAATTACCCCGGTTTTTTCCTGGCACTGAACTTTGAACACATTAGTTACACGCATATGAGTCCAACCAAAATACCATATAAATAAATAAGAAGCCATATTTGGCACTAGTATTAATCACAAGTACATTAATATATAAGTAGAAGACGTTTGGTAAGTGTTCATTGCACTTAGCTCGAATTGGAATTAATTTGCTTGATACAATTTTAATACTAGTTGAATCTATGAACTAAATAACAGATTACTTATATACTAGACAGAGAAATCAAGAAAGAAAAACAATATTAGCCCTTAAAAGACATGATTTGTTAGTTTTCATAAGACCCAAGAGCCTGCCTCTTCGAGAAACTTAAGTAACATTTTAAACTCTATTTGAAGTCCATGTTGATGATATTATCATAAACATTATATAAAGTTTAGAGATTTAAAATCACAATGGAACACAATGACATATTAACGAGAAATATTACCTTATAAAATATAAAAAACAATAAAATACTTGTATTACAAGTCTATGTGACATAGTTTGAATTAAGTTTACTCGGATATTGGACTTACATGTTTCCATATTAATATTTACATATTGTTATAAATAAATATTTTATCTATAATAGAAAACTTTTCTATGACTACGTCAGGATTTAGCTTGAATATCTATAAAAACAATATCAAAGTTAGCTTATAACTATAATTTATCAGAAATCTCTGGTTGCCATAGAATATGCATCGTTTCAATTTCTAAGGCGGTAATTATAATTACCTGAGATCTATAAGCGGGATATTCCGATGTATAAAGCGGGATACATAACATAGTAACCCTTGGACAATTTAATACAGCTTTTCTATGGAACGCCGAAAAATAAGGAATAACGAGGAGACAATTTAATAATTTACATTAAATGTTAATTAAAGAGAATCATCAAGCACATAATTGCTAATATAATTTATTGTTTGATTTTTTTAAATCACAGCGTTTTCGTTCATAACTAATTACTGTTTGGCATGCAATCTCAACTGTTTGACATTTTGTTCTTAGTGTGCATGTGTTCATAGTATTCACATTTTGATTAAAAAATATTATGAGTTATTCCCAATTGTGGAATTATTGGTAAATACTGACATTTTAAATGTTTTTTTTTTTTTACCTTTTAAGCTTTATGCGATGATTTTTTGTCAGTCAAGTCAGGATGTTGGAGAGTGGTATAGGTTAACTTTTGCTATGATATAATAACCTTTTCCTTTTGACTGCGCGAGCGCTAGCTGGTTTTCAGTATAGAAAAGATTTACAAATTTTCTTTGCTTTATAATTTTTATTGGTTACGGTGCACTTTCTGTGTTTATATTTCCACACTTTCGAGAATTACGGATAGATGTCGGCTTGACCTCGAGATTGCTCTGAATGATCACAGTAGGGACTGGACATTGGTCAGGCTATAGCTTCAACAGACCGACACTATCTCACACATGCACACTTTTATAATAATAATTCATTAATTCTATCTCGGTTGGTTTATAGGATGGTGTAATCTCCCGTACCTGAAGCAGGAGTGTACACTGCCGTACACAGAGCGAGAAGGGGGTATTACAGCTGTGACTGTCCGACATTTCGTTCCTCACATGCACACTTATATAATAGGGATGATGACTGGGTAAAACAAAAGAAATTCTATTTAGTCCTTCAGTCAGATAATGGAGAAATATAGGATAATTTTTTTTTTTACTTTAATTCAACAAGAATTAGCTAAGATAACGGACATTAAAGTTGAGGAGCGGGGGCTCGCTACGTCAGTAGCGTAAAGCATGACATCGTGTGACATTTTTAATTCAACGCATCAATTACGTAAAAAATAAACACACGTTCAATATCCTTCTACCGGACTGACAAACAAAACAAAAATCAGTCGTCATCCATATAACAGGGATCGTGTCACCGGCGATTTATAGTATAGAGTGGAGCCTGGCGCACCTGGAGCAGTAGTGGTCGTTGGCGGGGCTGCCGTAGTACACGCAGAGGGGCGCGCGGCAGGGGCGGGGCGCGGGCGCGGCGGGGGACGGGGGCCGGTCGTCGTAGAACGTGGACCGCGCCAGGTACAGCGTGCGGTCGGCGGCGGGGCGCGCGGGGGGCGAGCGGCCCGGGCCCAGCGCGCGCGCCGCCTCGTGCGCCGCGCGCGACGCCTCCGCGTAGAACTGCGAGCGGCCGGTGCCGTAGCGAGGGGCCCCGGGCTGCGCGGCGGCGGCGGGCTCCGCGCGGCTCCTCTCCGCCGTGTACCTGCGCGGCGGAGAGGACGACGAGTCAGTACTAACGTGCGACGCTAACTATGCCCGGTGATAAAAATATCTTTCAATGCGGTTGCTCATAAAGCGCTATTTTTTTAAATCTAAAAGTGAATCTTTAAACACGTGTTAAATAAAAATGTACTGAAATCCTTTACTGCACACGTGCTTAAAAGTATTTCAAGGAGCCTAGAACGAATATTTTCGAATAAAAATGTATGACACGAAAACATGTTCAAATATCACGTTTAATTTCAACAAATAATTTTTACCTTTAATACATACTTAGTTTTATTAACTCATATATTTGTTTTATTTTCTCGCAAAAAGCATTGAAAAATGTTGTAAGAAACTTGAGTGTAAAAGGTTTTTCGAATTCGTGCCAATGAAAACCCTCGCTACGCTCGTGTTTTCAATTTGGCCCTTATTCGTAAAACCTTACTTTCCGCACTCGTATCTTAAATAACTATTATCTACACTCAAATCGAAAAATTCAAAGACGATTCTATACATACACGCTTTATAAACGCGTATACATAAAATTAAAAATAAAACTCATTGGAGTACCGCTAACTGTATCATAAGACTCATTATAGTACCGCTTTCTTTTTTATTCATTAAACTAGTCTATGGTTTTAGGCTGAATCTGAAAAAAGGCGCACGCATGAATTAACTCCTTGTAACCTGTACCTACTTTGTTTAATTTCAATTTTTCCTATGAGTGAAGATAAAGTAGTGTATAAAATTGCATATAACTTAGGTATTAAAACATTCGAGTCAACCTATTATAGCATTCGTTTCGGTGCAAACTCTCGTGTTTTAATACCCCTTCTTATATGAATACATAAATCGAGAATTAATTTCAGTGCCCAGTGACGATTGGCGGGTGTTGTTAACATTGTATTCCTCGTCTAACTGATAATCGGCGGTTGTAATAGAAGCGTTTGTTGTTAGTTGTGGACGATTAATATGTAAAATTATTGTTTTGATATGTTGTACAGTGTGTGCAGTGTGGCCCATCCTTATTATCCATCCACAAATAAGGCCCGAGTGCATGCAGTTAGGACGTTAAAGGTCTGATGATGTGTGCTGTAGTGTTTCTCACGATTTTCGTGTATTATTCTTTGTTTTGATACAGAGTCATTTTCACCTAGCTATCGACTGTAGTTGCGGTGCTCATCGAAAATTTTAGTAGATGTATTTAAACCTAACATGCCGAAATTAAAAAAATAAATGGTCGCCAAAAAACTACAACATTCAAGCTTATTGTAAACAGAACATAACCCTAAAAAACTAAAGACAATACTCACCCCATCCAAGCTTCGTTCAGATAATTCTTGACCATCTCCTCTTGCACGGGCGCTCTCGCCGCTAAGACTTTACAGCAGAGCACCGAACAGGTGGACTGTCTCCTCGGCATACCTTCTTCAGGATTACTCTGGCTGCCGCTACTCTTCCCCGTCAATTTCGCCATCGAACCGAAACTTTTCAACTTCGAACTCATAGACCTCCCTATGCTGCCGAACTGTTTCGCTACAGAGTTCATTTGTTTACTGCTCTTTGTAGATAGGGCGTCTAAAGATCGTCTCAGTTCTTCAGGCGGATGGCTCTGCGAGAGACATTCGACGTTCTCCAGGTCTAGGTAAGCCGCTAACATGGCAGAACGTTGGTATTCGTCTGGCAGTAGATTGTTTATGGTCTTTTGATCCGGCTCTATGTCCCAACGGAAATCCTCGCCGGGGTCGACGTTGAATCTGAAAGAAGAAACATTAATCTTGTTAAGATCATTCTTCGCCACAGTTCGGTGATAGCAAAAAAAGTGGGCTAACACCCGGTTTCTGAATTGAGAATTTAAAATTGAGCACGTCTCAAACCGTGCTTAAGCCATTTGAAACATCGATTAAACAGGTTTTCATTACTGATTTATAATTTTTAATGATCAGTTGATAGCAATTTTGATAAAGCAAGGGCTTTTTGCTATATAAAACGTAAAAAACTTAAGTTTTTGAGAATAATCAGTTGAGATTTTGTGCTTTCCTCAATTCAGAAACCGGCCGTAGAGTTTTAAGAAAACTGCCTATTTGAATATAAACATTTTAAATTCACAGATGCTGCATTCGGAATTGTGCTTTAATATTAGTTATACATTTAAATGGACGTCATGACGGCGACGCCATCAGCGATTGATTGTATTAGAGCCATTTTTGACTCTCCCTAGAATTCCGTTGTGGAATAAACTATTCTAGTCTATTTTTTCAGTAACATAAAGAATATAAAACGAGATGTACTTCCAAACTACAAATTGACACGATTGTAGCTCGCGAGGGCGCGTTAATGTTAGATAAAGTTTTCACTAAAAGTATAATAAAAGTTACGCTTCCATGTATGATTTTTAAATTTGAATATACTTTAAATGATACAACATTATAATTTCCATGACATAGGTGTCTAGGATAACATAACATTGGCATAGCAACACAGTGTGTAGGGAATGCAATCTCGTTCTCAATAAATCTTGGCCTTTTTTAGCGATATTGATCTCGGTCGAAAAATGGGGGAGATCTTGTGAGTTTAACGAGATTGCACTCGTGCATAAAAATGACTTATTCTAAGTGCGGCAGCGCGAATTTATCGAACGACTTAGTTCACGAATCCTAAACGAACTAGTTCGCTCTTGTAAAACTGCTCCTGCTGCTCTCTCTGCAAATATATATATATATTCTAATGTAAATCATTATCATCATCATCATTGGCCCTTTTACGTCCCAACTGCAGGGGATCAGGCCTTCCTAATGTTAAGGTTAAGGAGGAGGATTGCCCAATGCAGATTGGAGGGTATAAACTATCCAAACGCAGCCGGGGCCTAACAGCTTAATGTGCCTTCCGAAGCACGTAGTAGCTCACGATAATAATTTTTTGGTCACCCATCCCGTGACCGATCCTTGCGAAAGTGGCTTAACGACAACGATCGCGGGCCGCGGCGCTTATCCACTACGCCACCGAGCTATTTATAGTTTATATTAGTTCGGTCGAGTTCAACTACGGAACGGGAAATGTGGGAACTACTTCGCCTTTGGCATATCGCCGCGTACGTTACCTGACCGGCAGCGGGGCGCCGGTGCGGTCGTGCAGCGGCACGCGCGCGCCGTCGGTGGGCAGCGGCTCGCACGGCACCAGCGCGGAGAAGTGGCCCGCGTCGTACGCGAGCAGGATCGGCGTCTTGCTGCACGTGCTCGGCGGCAGCTCCAGCGGCAGGTATATGCCGCCGAACGGGATCGGCGCTATCGGCTCGCCGCGGAAGTCCTGCGACAGTTATATATTTATATATGTACAACATCAACTATTAAACCTTGTGTTAAGGAAAACGATGCGGGACTTTTCGGGGCTAGTAATTTGTAACTATCAGAATTATTTTCTTCAAATAGTGTCATTGAAAATCATATATTTAATCATTAATTAAAATTATCTCATGAAATCATCAGACATGTAATATTTCGAACAGTGACGTCACATTTCAATAACACGAGTACAGGTCGCACTCGTAACAGTTAACGGTTAATTTATTGAAGTGACGTCATGGCTGCACCCGTTTTGGATATTGATATTTTAAATTTTTTTCGTAAATCAAAAATAAAATACAAAGCTATCGTTCACCATTCGTAACCGACTTCCCAGACCTGCTGAGTCGTCGCATTCCACAATTGTTTTTTATATATTAATAAAATAAATTATCACTGATGCGTGTTACTGTTTTAAGTACTTCACAGTGCGCCGTCGCTCCCAGTTATTCCAGCACCGGATACAGTTACTCTCAGGACATACGGCCTATCGTATACATATTAACGCGTCACGTACCCTGAGTGCGCGGTCGGCGAACACGATGACCGGCCGGCGCATGACTAGGGCGAGCGCGAGCACATGCAGCTGCTCGAGGCCAGCGTAGTGCGGGGCGGGGGCGGGGGCAGACGCGGGGGCGGGCGGGGGCGCGGGGCGGGGCTCCGCGGAGGCGGCGCGCACGGTGTCCGCCCACTCGCGCGCCCACTCCGCCTCCGAGGGCGTCAGCCCCGCAGACCGCAGGCTCAGGCTCTCCGACCAACGCCACCGGCGCTTTATCGCATCTGAACCAATTCGCGTGCTGTCAGTTCCAATTAGCGCATAATATATATCTTCGTTTACACAGACCAGGGCGTGCGGCTGTCTAACTGTTCAGCCGTAACTCTAGCCTTAGGATACGACATCTTGGCTATGTTGTGGCGATATTAAGTTTCATTTTACTACTTTGACATGTTCTTCATAAATAACGAATGATTAAGATTGAAGATCATGGATTTGACAGCGGTTACCGACTCAGTCGTTTCTCCCAAATTCAGACCAAGCGAAAGATATGTCAAAGTAGCAAAGAGAAACGAAATACCGATATCGCTAAGATGTCGTATCCTACAGCTGGAGGCGGTCGCCCCACAGATGTATAGACTCCGACGATGTCCATACAATTAAAATAACTATAGTGAGTAGTAAATGTATTAACAGTCTCACACTCAGTGAGGATCAAGGACATTGATTTTGATAAAATAAATTTGTGAGTATTTTTGTCGAAATCGGTAGTTTCTACATTTTTTGAGACTGCGTACGTACCATACTACACGTTAGGTTACCATAATCACAGAACACGGAAAAGAAGTTAGAAAGGCGATCATGCATCCTTTGTACGAAAACCGATGTAGCCAGTCTTGCCCCACTTTTAGTCCGCCGTACATCAGACGAATAATCAGACCAATTATACAAAAGATATGCACACACTTGTATTTTAAACATGCCAATCAGAACGCTCCAATATAACTATAACCAATCACGCTCAACCATAACAGACATCTATAGTGCGCAATAAACGTGTAAAAGACATTTTAATTTGACATATCACACTAGTGATTGACATAAAGTTATTTACTATTGATATTGAAAAACAACAAGTCGATTAATTGAAAGGATACTAGATTAATGATTTCTTTTTATTATATTGGATATACATTTAATTGTATTGATTAAATGAGACGTTATCTTTTTTCTTTAGATATAAATTCTTAATTAGTTGGTTGATTCAATAAGAAATATTTAAATTACTAATGAACTAACATTGAATCGGTACTAGTCGAGCTTAAATACACTGGACCGCAAAGAAAACGGGTCGGTTAGAAAATCGTCAATATCTTGAAAACTACTTAACTTATTTTTATGAAATAAAAACTAAATTAAAGATTATTTAATTGTAATTTATTGAATATAAAAAAATACAAATTAAAAGTTGTCTATTTTCAATAAATGTCAAACGAATGAAAAAGGTAGTTTTTCTGACATTTTCGTAAATATGAATTGTATAAAGATGTGACGTTTTTACGCATGTTAGTATTTCGTGTTGCCTCCACGAGCTTGCAAAACTGCGGCTATGCGATTCGGCATACCTTCCACAAGGTTTTTAAGGCGATGCTGCGGAATGTTCTGCCATTCCTCGATCAAAGCTCCTTTCAATTCACGCAGCGTGATTGGCGGCGGATTCCGTTGACGTACACGTCGTCCCAGTTCGTCCCATGCATGTTCGATGGGGTTTAAGTCGGGGCTTCGTGCTGGCCACTCCATGCATGTGATACCTACTTCGTGAAAATAGTCGAACACTATCTGAGCTGTATGCGGGCGGGCGTTGTCTTGCATAAAAACAGCATTTTCGCCCATATCTACTAAAAATGGACCAACATAGTCATTAAGAATTTCATTCACATATCGTTCTGCTGTTAAACTGCCATTTTCTATCACTACTAGCTCAGTACGGCTTTCGGAAGAAATCCCAGCCCACACGTGTATAGAGCCACCGCCATATGGTACTTTTTCTTCTATACAAGCTTGGTTATAGCGCTCTCCCGGTCTTCGGTACACTCTTTTCCTCCCATCGTGCTTGTATAAACAGAATCTAGACTCGTCTGAAAACATAACTCTTGACCAGTCATTCAGAGTCCAAGTTTCGTGTTCTCTGCTATAACTCAGCCTTGAGTTTAAGTGGTGTCTTTCTAATTTTGGGCCATTTGCAGGCCTTAATGGTCTCAAATTTGCTTCAGCCAGACGTCGCCTTACTGTATCTGTACTCAGATAGTTTCCTCCAGCTCGTAAATGGTGATTTTTTACCTCAACGGCCGTAAGAAATCGATTTCTCAAAATTGTTGACACCATATAGCGATCCTCCCGCGCAGTCGTGCACCTCGTTCGGCCTGTTCCTGGTCTTCTTAGGTTGGATCCAGTTTCATGGAAACGCTGGAGTACCCGCTGAACTGTGGAAAGACTCACACCAACAGTTCTCGCTGTATTGCGCTGACTGCGCCCATCTTCAAGCATTGTCAGGATCCTGGTGCATTCTTCAGGGGTTAACGACATGATGACTTCAGAATACAATTTTTGTATGACAAACACACGATATTTATTGTAGTTTTTATGTCAAAACTAAAACAAATGCGAAACAAATGCTTTGATTTTTTTAGAACTAAATTGAAAAACAACCATTATCTTCATTGCCAGTTTTCTTACACAATTATCTAAAGTAAATAAAAAGGTTTTATATACTATGTTAAATAACATTAAATATTCTTTAATTGAGTTTTTATTTCATAAAGCTAGGTGAGGTAGTTTTCAAGTTATTGAAGATTTTCTAACCGACCCGTTTTCTTTGCGGTCCAGTGTATATGCATATAAATATGTTTGTTTATTAATAATAATAGTAGGTTTTTTCTTTTACGTTACGTTACTCGATTTCGTATCAAGTAAACAGATAAGATCGGCAACATCGCTTAAATGAAACTAGTAATATTGACAAACAATATAATGTAAATAAATATATACATGCTGCATAGCAATAAGGCCGCCTTTTGTATACTGTCTGATCTTTTTTTTTTCTTTGTAATGTGGCCTATATTTGTGCAATAAAGAGTATTATTATTATATACAAAATAAAAAAATACTATCAGTACAATAAATTCTTTGGAACTTATCCTGAACAGACTCCGATGATTTAAAAAGTATTGTTGTTAACGGTTCAAAATAATAAAAAAAACTAGTTTTCTGTTTCAATATTAAGAATATAAAAACAGACTTATTACCACACTCATTATTAAATTAATATACAAACGCATTCCAAACGAAGTCAATATGGTTAATCTCTGATTAAATTTATTTTTTATTACCACTATTTTTATTGTCCATACTTTTATTTAGTTTTTACTACCTAACATACCAAGAATCGATTATATGTTTCCAGGCACTTCACTACCCATCTACCGTAATCTATTATGTTGCTATTTAAAACGGTAATTTCGCGATATTCATTACATTACGTGCTTAGTACGACGCAATGTAATAAATATGCGCACTTCTCCAGCAATGTATATTTTCTTGGAAATATTTTTTGTGATTCACACTTTTGATAACATTTCACGATTTTCGACTAAAAATACTAAATTTAAGAAGTGTTCTACTCTAAAGAAATCCTTCCTTTGGACCTACTTGAGGATGGGCTTCTTGTTTTGCAATTAATAACTGCGAAAGTCGGCATTTTTAAAACTTTTAGTGGCGTGTTTCACAGTACTTACAGCGCGCGCGTTCGTGAATGACTAACCATCGCGATCGCGTGGTGAAGTCACGATCCTGTACATTTGTCTAGGATCGTGGCTGCACTGCCACGCCCACAAGGCCCTTCTAACGTCTTTGTGTTCTGTGACCATAATATCTTATATATCTTTAATCTATTCTGAACTTTATTCTGAATGCATTAAAGTGTAAAATCAAGTGCAATATGTAGAAAGGTTTGTATCACCAGAAGTGCTGTTAAATGTTAATAAATCTGGCCTATTTTGAGACACCACCTGAATGGTTAATTTTTTGTTACACACTTCGGATGCAGTACTACCATCTAATAATAAGGAAAAAAGCTACTCACTCGTGAGCGCATCTCCACCTTCTCCCGATAGTAAAGCTTGTACTTTAGTCCTTAACGCTAGCAATCTGTCGTGGAACCCGTAAGCAGCCAGAGATGCTGCGTGAGGCAAGCAATTCCCATCACCAGATGTCGCCAGAGGTAAGAGTCTAGGTGCACCAGGGATGCCACCGTTACGCCACCAGTTTAGGATCCCTGCTGATTCCAGTGTAACCAGAGTTGCTGTCTCCAGGAGATCTTTTTCTATGAATGCTCTGTAACAATAATTGTTTTTATTTTATATTATAACCAGAGGTCGGAATTAGGTAGAGTTATTTATGTACTTGCATCGAAATGTTGATATTAATATGGACCTTCCCGGGATTTCTAATGGACAATCCCGTGTGGCCAACAATCTTACAACTAAATAATAATAACAACGTCAGAGATAGACAAATAAAACAAAGATAATTAACATAATTTTTTTATTAGTTTACATTAATTTACAATACAAATTGATGTAAGATGTCATTGATGTAAGTTTGGCAACGTCGTGCGTGCAGTAGTTAAAAATTGTGTAAAAGTAAATAACTTTTTATTTCAAAAATCAGGGGATTTTTTCTGCTCTTTAAAATTAATCTCTGGATTTGAGGCATACCTATCCACTTTATTCTTTCGCTGTATGAAATCAGTGTAAGTACATGAATAAGTCTACCTAATTCCGACCACTGATTATAACACTGCCCACATCGAACGTTTGACAAAACTATCCAACAGTGAAATCGCATCGAAAACGTTTGCCTGGTTTATGAGCAGATATCTTAGCCTAACAGGGAATGAGAGAGGTTTTCTTACTTTGTTTGTAGGGGGTAATCTTTGGAAATTCCTGATTCGATCATGACAATTCTTTCAACCTACGGGATACGCGGGTGACTATACGCAGCTAAATAGGCTAAATTTACGCGGGCGAAGTCGCGTAAAAAACAGCTAGCATAAGAAAAAAAATGAATGATATTCGTATATGATTGTGAAAGACTACATTTATTAAATCAGCACATTACACCTTTCTTTACGAATAACCTACAAAAAGCTCCTAGATAAGGTTTAACCCAGATATAACAGCACGGATTTGCATTTTGTGTACATTTCTTTTCTATCGCTCGAGATTGTTGTTTGATACGGAGAGAATATAGCATTAAAAGCGCATGCGAACTTTCTCGCTTTTGAAAATAGAGAAAAAACATTTATGCGCGTTTTTACTAAACTTAGGAGTCGCCCAAATCTGTTGCCTAAATATTTAGGAATCGGTTAAGGTGAAAAATCATCTCACCAATGAATAGGAAAAACCTAACGAACTTAAGCACTGTCTAAATTTATGACATGTGTTATGCTACTCTTGCGCTAGGCATTTGCGAAATAAGACAGGTAAATGTATCAAGGGATAAAAGAAATAATGTTTTTTTGGAATTAAACTTGTAATGAGGAATTATTTAACTCATATTCTATTTGTACTTTTTCGTATTTGTATTTATATGGAAGTTTCGAACTTTTCAAATTTCAGTTTTTTAATATGTTAGTTAAAAGGAACGGAAATAACTGTCTTTGGTCTTTTCGTTTCCTGCAAAATTCAACTTTTGCTAGAGTCGCCATCTAGTGGAGGTGCTATTTTAGTGCTTTCGTTTTTTTTAAATACTTTCTCATTGAGTTTTGAGAATAAATTTACTTTTATACATGGGTTGTCATGGAGAAATCAAGAAAGTACCGTATCGACATCTAGTTTGATTTCGGGAACTAATGTTTTTTTTTTTTTTATATTTCCTCATTAAGACGATTCCTAAGATTAGGCACAAAGACACATGGTAAAACATTACAAGGTGAAAAAAAAAAACAAATATTAGCAGTTGCGTCAATGAGTAATCTTATGTGCGTTATATCATATTAATTTGCGAGAGAGAGAGAGAGAATGGCACAGTGGTTAAGCGCGTTCGGTCTGCGATGCAAAGGTTAAGCATTTTTTGCAGTCATTTGATGGTTGCACAATAATTTAACGCAGGTGTAATGAAAACCACGGCCTTATATTGCCTATTTATATACTTCATTCTATTAAACCCTACATCCATTAGAAGTGTTAAATATTTAATAATAAGAGATTGTAATCTGTAATAAAAAATTCTAAGTGCGTATAAATTTTGTATCCTTGATTACGGTATCGCCCTAAAAGTGAGAAAAAGTATAGGCAAATTTCAACACAACTTCATAAAGTCTGGTCATTTCAAGCTATTAAAAAAGTTCAAATAATGATGTAGAATTTCGACGTTAGTGTTGAAGGTATTTAGATTTTTATAGAGTTCGTCACGAAAACAATGAATTCATAAAAGATTTCATTGACCCTTTTCAAATAACGTTGTAGCACAATTCTGCTATATTTCATTCGCATTGTGACGAATTTGAAAAAAATATATCTTTAGTGGGGATTTAAGTAACATATAATAATACATATAATCAATCAATTTTGTTTCGTATTTAATACAAAAAGTGGAATCAATAGAATTTCTTCACGGACACATGTGTGAATTCGAATTCTGGTTAGGATTTTTACAGAATCGCCCTGCAGAAACTTAAAACTGCGCCCTTACACCCCCTCCCCCCTCCTAGTCCCGGCACTTTTATCTTTTTTGTTTAATAATATTACTGTAACGGTATTATATTAACATAATTTTGCGGCCCCCCGACACTGGCGCTCGGACAAGTGCCCTCATCTTGCAATTGTAAAATAGGCACAACACTTTTTCGAAAATACTAACCCTGTGGTTTTAAATGCGTAAATCCTGTTTTTTTGTTTTACCTTTATTGTCGGTAACACATAAGGTCGTGACTCGGTAAACAATAACAGCGGGTTCAACGTCTGTCTCGTCCGACGGATTGCGTGCTAACCGCTCATGAACGTTGGCGAATGGCCAACAAGGGAAGGTCCTTTAACTAGTAAATTCGCTCATGTGTTTTTAAATGTACAAATGCGGAGTGATATATGTACAATATTTTGTTACATTTACAATTTTACAATGCTTTCTATTTAATCAAACCCTACATGAATCCATAAAACAGAAAAATGTGCTTGTTAGTTTGTCTTTCTTGCACAATGCATGAATGAGATAGTCTGGATCTGAAGTATAATATATGATTAAATTTCAAACTGTTTAAATAACAAATTAAATTTTTTATAATTTTTAACAAACAACTAACAGTTTTCCCGCGACTTAGTTCGCATAAATTATAGTCGCGTATAATATTGCTTCTCGTGGGTGAAAGAAATTTTTGAATCGCTCCAGTGATTTGGGAGCCTCTTTAATGCAAACAAATAATAAACTTTTTCCTATTTATAATATAAATATAGATCTCCTTGTAATCGTTTCAGATGGCAAGAACAATAAGGTTAATTGTTTTTTGGTAAATGTTATACAGTCGTATAGTACTACAACACAATAAATACTGAAAATAAAAGTTCTAGCTATGTTTTCTAATCTTTAGTTGAATTATATTATTTTTGCGTGCTAAAATCCAATTTGAATACAACTGCAGTACGGTTTGCAACATAGCTGATAACTCGTACCTGAAGTCTGGTGGGTATACTGATATGTCCGGCAGCAGCAGTATGTGGTCCGAGTTGAGAATGTTCTGTTCGGGCTCTGTGTTACTTCTCAACGCCCACACTAAGCCCTCGTTGTCTGTAGCGCGGGAGATGCCTCGCGAGAGTTTGCGACCTGCGAAACAGTGTAAATAAATCTAAATCTAAATAAACAGCTCTAGCACTAGTCGTAGAAGCCGATGTTTTCATATCTTTCCGTTAGTGTAACTTCTCCTCCTACAATCCAATTCAGGACTATTTTAGCTGCGAATAAGAATAATAAGTGATAGGTACAAGAAACTTCGTAACATTTGAGGTGGTTTGATTTTGACCAACTATTTGCTGTGATTCTTGGTCGCCTTGTTATTTCCAAAATGAAACTAATTAAAACTTTGGAGTTTTTTTATGATAAGAATTTCTTTCTGTTGCGAATCGTTTACGTAAGTTTTTGCTGACCGGTGTCAAAGTTATTTCACATTTACATTCTGCTTTGTTGTCTATTATAGACTACGCTGACATTTATATACTTATTAAGTTTTTGCTGAGAAACTCCTAAATAAGCTAGAACGTATCTGCTACTTGAACTGATGTACTTACATTCAGGCGCCGGTGTGAGCACCAGATTAGATGGCGCTGAGAACTGCATCGTCAGATCCAGGGTGCTCCCGGCGCGATCGGAGGTTATGACGTCACCACCCGCCTTCGGTCGGAGCGATGCGCCGTGCACTCGATCTAGAAAATGACACAACCATACAAAATTATACAGGGCCACCCACGCAACCATAGACGTGATAAACGTTTCAAGACGTGTGTTATTTTTATCGGTGGCCGAAAACTCTATTTTATTTGCACGTTTCTTATAATAGTCATCTTAGCTTTAAAAAGTGTGAAATAATCTATAGTCAAGATATAGAGAAAGTTATGTACTACTAAGCAAATATCCGATTACAAGGTATTTGAAATGGGGAATTCTATTCAACAAACCTTTTACCTAAAAAAATCAGTTCGAATGTAGTATGGCCTTTGTTAATTAAATTACTTGACGAACTGATTAAGCCAATACAAAAATATGAGAAACACTTAAATTGTTTGCATTCGAGAAAAAACCCGAGAGTTAAACAGACAAATAACTAACACGAGAGGGCCGTAGCTAAATTGGGGTTGTTTAGCCAACCTTGACCTGGCTCAACGCTTCCCACGCCGAGGTCAAAGGTTCGAATCTCGACACAAAGACAATGGGCCCTGATCGATACTACTGTGAAACCGAAGCGAATTGTGTTTGGGTGCCGTTTTGACAGTGACAGCTAAAGGTTAAGTAACATCCGCTATAAAAGAATGGATAGATACGATGATTGATGAGATTCCATTACAAAGATTATTTGAAGCAGACATCAAGTATATGAAAGCATTCGATTCTTTAAATAACCGCGATGACGTATTTTATGTTATACTTAGCAAAACGTATAGTTTATAAAAGACAGCTGTCGAGTTCAAGAACATTTGCATTTCGGTCAAAGGTTAGGTAGATCATAAATGTTAAGTTATTTGGCTAATGTTCATAAATAATTCATATTATTTTATTTCTCCATAGATAGTATAATATTTGACAAGTTCAATGATAATAATTAAAAAATAAATGTGCATAGTAAAATCTTTATGGAAAGAATTGCAAAAGTACAATGGTTAAGGTACTAGTAATTCTAGACAGGCAGACCTAATACTAGCGTTTTTATCGCACAAAAAGTCTCAATATAAAAGGCGATCTCATTACTATTACACTCGTGTGCCCACTTACAAAATTGAACTGTGTCACGAACAATAGCCGCACGGAAGTGGCTAGGTTTTCCAACATCAGACACTCTGGAGCACTGTGTGTCGACATCTGCCTACATCTCGCAATCGACACACGGTTTGTGTGTAACGGTCTATCGTTTTATATGTGATACAGATTTAGACTCGGCTACATAGGTACAAATTAGATGAAAATATAGGCTGAAAGGACCATTTTTTTCTGTATTTTACGAGGTACAATAAGGAACGAAAATACGCAGAATTTTTTTCCTTGTAGAAACAGATAATAGTAATACACAATATGATATATACATAATACGTAATGGGTTTTTTTTTTAAATTAGTTTGTGAGGTATTAAATGTGACATGTTAACGTTTCATCATTGATTCCCAGACCCTTTTCCTTATATACGTCAATAACTCATGACTGAAGTTACTTTGGCGAGTAAACCTTTACATAGTAAAAGAGAACAAATACAAGTATGAGCCACGACTTAGCCTTTTCTCGATTCGAGTCAGGTATTTAGAGATTAAAGATACAATCTGCGGATGTACTGGAAACTAAAAAGCTTATGGATTATGAACATGAATGGGGGTGGGGGTGTAGGGAGAGAAATGCCGAAATAATGACAGCTTGTGCGAAGGATGCTAAGAAGATAACTACACATAAGAAATTGGGAAGAAGCTGACAACGAAATACCTAAATTGTTTATTACAAATTAACTTATATTTTGGCAGCGGGGAGTGAAATACTGAGCTAAATCAAAATTAGGTAGGGCCCTAGCCAGTAATAAAAGCTGTAACGCAGCGTATCACGAAAACAAAATGACAGCGGGAGCAATGAAGCGAAACGCAGGACGTGGTCGACAATGGCAAACAATATAATAGCAAGAACTAATCGGTATAAAATTTACGATAACGAACAGTCCACGTAAATACAAAATTAGGATTCAATGATCAACTAAAACAGTTTGTTTATTCACTTTAAGACTGTTGACAAACATTTGTGAAGGTCAAATGCAATGCTATACGTTTGTAAATCTATGACACACAGGCACTGGAGACCTTGTGAAGTAAAAACGGGCAAGACATTCAGCATGGATTGCTGTCCTCGTTAAGATGACGTCAAATCTGGTATAATATTATATTCATGGTTCTAGAAAAGATGGAAATTTCATTTGACTGATAATAATCACCTAAAAGAACAAAATATAAGGTTCATCAATAAATACTTCCTTAATCATCGCAGCTGGCGCTTGATTAAGTCCGAATAATTAATTTGTAGCTAGAATTCAATTGCCAGAAGTAGTATCAAGGTATAGGATGTAAGCGTTGAAATCAATATGACGAACTGGCATTAAATTGTATTGACTATTATTTTCATAAAGTTTCTTTTTATTTCAAACGACATGTCCAAGTATGTTCGGAAATTAGTTTATACTTTTCTTTATAAAACATACGACTGAAAATTAACCTACACCGCTTTATCAGAGCATAATGAGACCAAAACATTTTATATTTCTGATCGCTAGATGTAAAGACCAGAGTCGTATAGAGACAAAGCAAACATGTGGTAAGGTATTAATAGAAGCACGCCATTACGATTTGGAACACCGAACCCGATCCGGTATATACATACATCTTAGTGAAAAATAGGTCGTGTGTCCCAAATCTCACGAGTTGGTTTGTGACTTTTCACGCGGAACGTCACGGCTGATCTAAATGGTAAATTAAACTTAGTTTTCTTTGCAATGATAAGGTAAGGTAGTTCAACCGTGTCAATCAGAGATACAAAACAAATGTTAGATGGAGATCAGGAAACAAACAAACTAACTTGTGGAAGATTAGGTCTTCACCTAATTACAAATTTACCACTATTAAATAGATAATGTATATGTATTACAGATTATTTCGAATAAGTTGACGTTGCATGTACTTACGAAATCTTATATTGTTATTTTACGAAACTGACATTAAAGAATATGAATTATATGGATGGTATGTGTTTAAATATTTGTACATTGGCCAAGTCAACAGAATGTGTGTGCTTTCTTTTTTTATAGATTTGGAAACAGAAATGGGTACGTTTTTTCAATTGTACTGGATATTGTTTTAAACATTTGTGGTTTGAGTTTAACATATGACTTTTAATTTTGAAACTTGGATGTTGACCCTTTTGAAGTGGATAATTCTATAATATTATAAAGAGGTAATGATTCTAAGCTTTGTTTGTAGGTGATCTTCGGAAATGCTGATCTTGTCATGATAATTATTTCACTCGTGAAGCCTACATCATACGAGGGTGACAAATAATATAATTTACGTGCGAAGTCGCGGGAAAACGATAACATATAATAAGACAATAAAGGCAAAGATAACAATGCCAGCTTCTAAAATACATTATATTTCTCTCAAATATGAGTTTGTTGAGTTGGTAATTAAACTGTAGATGTAATCGGTGCTGCAGCGGTGACAACACGGTGTTATTTTAGATTACAAACAACCTACATAGATGTGAAACTCGATAGTCTGTCTCGATTTCCAGACCGCTCTATAAAAAGTTGCGCTGCGAACGAAATGTACCGAACGATTGACGTTTTAGATTTTACTACACAATCGTTTATAATACGTACAACGCAATTCGCGCACACTCGCTAATATTATGGATGTGAAGTCATTCGAATACATAATACACTCGCGGCCCACATGTTGACGATAGCAGTACCGTTTATGGTGATGTCAATAGAAAACAGATTTTAATGTTCTTGTACATACGACGGCTTAGCATGCGCGTTTTGGGTTGGATACGGGTACCTATCTTTTAAAGCTCGAAACACAGTTATGTGTCGTTTTGCCATTTCCATGTTATGATTCATACATTATAATTAAACGGATATATTTTTCATGACAGCACAAGATGCAAATGTGTCTCTAACCAAACTAAATGTGTGAAAATAAAAGTCTCGCAACATGACTATCATGTAGTTTCTCATAGGTGAAATAATGTTTTTGTTGAGAAGATTCGGAGGCTAGTCGATCCAAACAAACAACTACTCAATAAAATCTCTCTTCTTTATAATATCAGTATATATTTTTTGTTTTTACTATAGTTTCAAAAGATTTTTCTTTGTATAGCTGTAAGTCTTCCAAATATTTAATAAATAAATCAGTAGACTTAGATTGCATTTGTATAACTTTTTCATTAACTAAATTTGAAAGAATAAACTAAGAAAGGCATTTTTATCTATATTGGATAGGAAATGGCTTATTGCTCAGTTCGTGTCCCATCTCAGAGTGCCAGGGACAAAGTGAATTTTTTAAGCGTAATTATTTGAATTTAATGATTTACAATTTATCAACACAGAGGTAAAACTTTGTTACAATTACATAATTGCGTCAAAAAAAAAAACTGTTTAAAAAAAATAGAACCGACTTCAAACTTAAAAAAAGGCAAAAACAATACTTATCTCAAACGCGAAAAGGCGGGCGGAGGGTTTCTGTATGTTATTAATTAATTTGTAGGCCCCCGACTTAAATATTTTTTTTTTAATAAGTCGCTTTTGAGATAAGTAATTAAGTTTTTTAATACATGCTTATTTGTGGTATTGATATTTTTATATAATAGGTAACACTAAAAATACTTTTCTGAAAACCGCTTCAAAACCGTGTCAAAGTGCGTACCTCCAATTTTTATCTTTTAATATACCTAAAACCTTCTCCTAAGTCTGACAAATACTAAAATTGAAATGGGACCACACAGCAAGCACTAGCTTTCAAATAAAAAAAGAATCATCAAAATCGGTCCACCCACTAAAAAGTTATGAAGTGACAAACAGAAAAAAAAATACACTCGAATTGAGAACCTCCTCCTTTTTTTGAAGTCGGTTAAAAATGAACGACACTATATACGCAGATATAACAACACGTGTTTGTCACATGCACTCAATGTGCTTATCACTAGTTAATATTTAATTCTGAAAGATTTTGTTTATCTTTATTAGTTGAATTGCCACGTAATTGAATAGAAAATGATTTTACAAATAAAATTAAAAAATACAAAAAAGGGTTATTATCAAACTTTAAAAAAAAAATTGTACTAACTAAGTGAAGTATTTTGCCTATACTAATTTTATAAAGAGGAAAGATTTGTTTGTTTGTTTGCATTAAATAGGCTCCGAATATACTGTACCGATTTAAAAAAAAAAATTTAAAAAACACCCACAGGAAGCTACATCATACGTGGTTGACATATGCTATAGTTTACGCGGGCGAGATCCGGGACAAACAGCTACTTCAAATACCAATTTCGAATTCAGTCATGTATCTGAATTCACATCATTTAGTGAAGAAATTCTATTGATTCCATTTTTTATTTAAAATACAAAACAAAATTGATCGATTATACGTGTTAGATATTCTATTTCTTTACTTCACTTAGGCCACGTACGAAACGTTATTACAAATTCAAGATTGAGCTGATGCCGCTTTTTGTAGTGTATTCGGACACCCGAGTGAATTCGAATTCGGGTATGAATTTAACAGAATCGCAGGGCTGATTTGAAATGTTATCTTAAGTCTTTATAATATTCATAACATTTTTAAATGACGATAAATAACTGTATATGGAATACACAATATACAGTAGTTTCAGAACAACTCAGCTGTGACATACGAAATAATGAACAGACAGACACGAGTGAAGGATCACTTATTTATAGGAATAGGGGCACCGCTTCTTTAATTTCGGCATAAAAAAATGACTTCCTGAAATTGTATTTTAAAATAGACAAGAACTAGCTTGAACATATATGAAAGACAAAAGATATCATAATGATAAACTTTATTGAGTTTTCAGAATAGGCAGTGGTGACTATTTTAAGCGAAAACAAGGATTTTTCGTATAATATTGTTATTTCTGTAGATCCAAACTGGGCAAATAGAGACAAACATATCTAGGTCAAGTTGCGTAAGATTTCACATTTTGTCCCACATGAAGATCTATTGCAGCAGGCATTATTATTTAACTGTGTTATTGGCTCGACTAACATTTTACATCACTTTATTGCTTCTCTTATTCAAATAATGCAAGTTTTATTGGTCTTAATAACAACATAGACATTATACGAGTAGCGTTGAAATTGATGAAACAAAGATTTTTTTGATCTTCATACATAAATTAAATTTATTTAGATTATTTTGAAAAATTTAATCTTAAAAGTTCAAAGTCAAGTATTATAGTCAAGCAAATAGATGAATATATAATAATGGTATTGTTATACTATACTGGCAAAGTTAAAAACGAGTGTAAGAGATCCTTAGACAGCGCTGTTATTGTATGATCGTTATCTTTTTATTTTGCAACAGATCGGTAGATGGCACTGATCTTGATTGATTGGTGTCTTTTTTCTATTAAATTATCCCATGTTTTGTTTTATGTAAACAACATACCAATATGACGTCATAAAAGGGTGAACGAACAGCGATTTCGCGGGTATAAACAATCACAGAAATTACTGAAAATATGTGTAAAATTTCTAGAAATCGCAATTTAATCGTTATATTCAAAGACTTCTAGTATATACTCGTAAATACAAGAATTATTTGGTTTATTTCTTAAATTCTATTCGTTTTTCTTACCTTCTGTCCGTTTCCCAGCGATAGGATCCGCTTCTACGACCATGTTGAATTAACCTGATATAAAAATAAATAGATATTAAACATTTATAATAATTTTAATAGGAGGGTAACAGTGGTCTCAAGAAAAGGTATGTTTTGCCAACTGCGTCATTCATATTCATGCCATATACTCCGTACTTTGCTCACTCACACTCAGATTTTAAATCATTGTTTACAAAGAACGTTGCCAGTATCGAAAATATCAAATCAGTTCCAAAAATAAACATATGACTGAAACGTACACCTACTAATGGCCAGAAATAAAATGATGTATCATGAGAGTCCCTTCGACCAAATATTGAGTAGGGTTTTTTTTTTTAAAGTTCTCTTCTTAATAAGAGTACCCGGAGCAAGAGGATTCTTAAGCATTTTTCATTAAGAATATTATCGTTTTATTTTATTTAATACTAGCTATTTTCTCGTGATTTCATACGAGTAAATTATAGTCTATCGGCCGGTTTCTGAATTGAGAAAGTACAAAATCTCAACTGATTATTCCTATTAAATTAAGTTTTTTTACGTTTCATATGGCAAAAAGTATTAGATTTAACAAATTGCTATCAACTGATAATTAAAAATTTATAAATCAGCAATGAAAACATGTTTTAATGACATTTAAAGTGGCTTAAGCGCGGTTTGAGACGTGCTCAACTTCAAATTCTCAATTTAGAAACCGGGCGTATGTCACCCGCGATAATATGTATTGCCATATGTGAAATTTTAAAAATCGATCCGATAGTTTCAGAGCCAATTCGATACAGACAAAAAAAAAACAATCAAATCTTTCCTAATGAGAAAATTGTAAAGTTAATATTAGTATAGACTTAATTTGAGAGTATTGCAAGCAAAAGGAGAGGTTTAATTTTATTTTTTAATTTATTACAATACGAGTACAATATGGTAGACAATGTCAATACCTACGTCTAAATCAACAAAATTGCAAAAACTGTAGCGTCATTTACGAAAATAGCTAGCGTCTATTGAATCTGACAATACCTCACACAATCATGACAGTGACCTACAGAACTTTTTTGAAACAATTTTCAAATGAATTCCATTTGGTGAAGGCAAAGACGGTCCTTTAAAAAGCTTCTATAGAGCCTATAATTTCATACAATATAGAAGAATAGTCTAACTAGTTCGAATAAAAATATAATGCACTCAAATGCATCGGAAACTAGGGCAAGTTGGATCTAATTCGTTTGTTCCTAGATAATTTTCCAATAAAGCGTGTTTTTGTTTATCAACACCGCTCAATGCCACGTTACGAACATTCCATTGTGTAGATAAGCGCGCGCGCAAATGTAATTCATCTATAGCCAGACTGTCTCTAGTTATCTGCGATGACTCAGCTGGTATACTGCAGAAGTAACGATTACTTTAAATTAATAAAAAAAAAATATCGTGAGAGAAATATTGTTTACAGAAGAAACATTTATTGGCCTCAGACAAAAAACAAGCAGCACATTATTATAATATGATTACATGAACAAAAATAATAAGTATAAATTATTTAGAGAAAAGTGACTGTCAAATAGAACAGTTTTTTTATGTTCTTGGATTTTTTACGTGAGGGTTACTCATTATACATTATCTTCGTCTCCTGGCGAACGACAGGGGAAGAGCCCCTTATTTTTCAAGTAGGTTAATAAAGATAAAATAAAGTTTTTGTTGGACCTCAATGGCAGCGTAAATAGGACGTAACGTTTCTTTTCATCTGAGACTAATCAATATAATTATGTATAAATGTTTCATAAATTAAGTTCGTAACCAATCAAAGAAATATGGCATTTAGTAGAAACCTGACATTCGGATCAAATCGAAACAAAAACATCAAATGAAAAAGATCAGTAAAAAAGCAATTAGTTTAATGGACAAAACGTAGTGAATGGGTGATAATGAGACTCATTCATTGATATCACGAGGTCAACATTGAAACAAGTACGAAAAGTTGACAAAACACAATTTGATTTGACTAATTCTAAAAATCGAATGTGATGCAAATATGTACCATTTTAAAATTAAACTGCATACATATGCATGCGCGAGTGAGACAGTTGATAATTTGAACGCAAAAATAATTTCATTTGCGACGAATTCAAAATGCAATTGTAACAATATTACAATTGAGGTCATTATTGGTTAATACAATGGATCGCAAGTAACAATAACTATGGTTAGATGTTAATGACCCAATAGTTACGTTTCACGCACGACCAAATTCTTATGGCTGTTTGAGTTAATCCTTTAATGTATGCGATCGCAGTATAAACAATTAATCTAGGTGACCTCTTCTTTCGCCCTCATTATGATAACGACGCAGATGCCAGGAAAGGGGCGGACGTTGGTCCTTGAAAACGAGCAATAGCTTGCGCTCCGGTTTTTCGTTTTATAAATGCGTCTAGGTAATTTATTTTTTACCATTTTTTGACTGATTTAAACTTTAATTAGGTATTGATTATTAATTTAACAGTATTTATCCATATATTCCAGCAATTTTTGAAATTTGAAACGACAGCCAATCAATTATAACAGCCATGTTTAGGGTTGCTAGATGGGAGACTAAAATGTCGGGGTAAAACTTGTTGAAATTCGGTATTTTGGGGCATTGACTGGACAAAACAATTTTTCATCGGTCCGTAAAATATTGAAAAGCAAACTAACACCCTTTTTACTGGTTTCCATTTGTCCGGGACTTCTAAAATATCGCAATCCACATAAATCCCGACCGACAGAATTCGCACCATTAATGATCTATTTTAGAAGCAATACTGCTTCTCAGTAAAAGTGAATATTCTCACCACAGTAATCAATCAAAGTTATTGTAAAAATATACGAACGAATAGTGTTTTCTATTGTATATTCATGTCATGTACTGCTAAAGAGAAAGCATCGACGTGCAGTAATTGTTTCATTGAACTTTGCCGATTTTACTCGATACATAGTAACATGTCAATTGTAAAATTGCGGCAAATGATAAATACGATAAGATAAGACATGCATAATCAAATAAATAATATGACTAACAGAAAAACAAATAGTCATAACCGATAATATTATTAATACAGAAGAAACAAGTTATTATAGGTTTATAAATATTAGGTTGGGGGAAAAGTCTTTTCGCATATACTCGTAGGATGCATAAACTTTTAATAAAATCTTTCTGGCTATACCATTTGTATCTGGCTGGTTTCGGTATCATTAAAAAGTTTGCATTTTAAAGAAGAAAACTCCGAATTCTAATTAGGAAAATGTGAATTTTCATTTGTTTTTCTTACAGTCAAAATGAGTGAATAAAATTATGAAATTAGCTACATTTAAAATTTTATTACAAAAAGGTAAAAATGCAATGTAAGCCGCGAAAATATGTATGACGTTTATGGACCTAGCGCAGTTTCTGTGAGAATAGCACAAATTTGGGTTATGCGTTTCCAGCCCGGAAATTTTGATGTCAAAGATGCACGTCGTTCCGGTCGCCCAAAAGCAAAAATAAGTAGCTGTGGGTTCATGTCCCTACCAACAAGATGGCAAAAACTTATCGAACAAAATAATATCTACATACTTTAGTTAAATGTAAATAAATTTGATTAAAAAGTGTTTCGAATTTTCATATAAAATCCAATAGAAAGATTTTTTTTAACCTTTAGGTTATTTTGGTAGGATTAAGAAAAGATATGACTTATCGGTCCAAACAATTTTTTCAACATTAGCAAAGAATATAAAGTGAAGTATCTAAAAGTAATCTTAGACCTAAAAATAAAGATCTTCCTGATCCCCTATAATAAATAAACAAGGTAAGCTTAAGGCTGGTCGAAAAGACAAATGTATCCATTTGCCTTTGACTCGTGCCTTACTGGCAGAGTCGGCACTACCGATGGATGTAGTTGACTGTTCTATTTACCTGAAAAATAGATTACCAGATCCAGATCTTAGTCATCTGAAAGGTTTTGGTTGTAGCGCACTTGTACATGAGCCACCTCAGGTGCGTACAAAACTAGATTTAGAAGCAACAGAACATATATTTGTTGGATATTTACAAGATCCACACAGTCATCGCTTCCGTGAAATTCAATGTCCTATACTAGAAGATTGGTTAAGGCAAGAGATGTCACATTCTTTGAGAACTGTTTTACAGATCTTAAAACGAAACGTGATGATGAGAATATTCCATTGTTATTGTCTTAAGATAATGAGTTTGGTACGCAGTCAAGTTGCTCATATTCCCAACCAGTCAGGAACTTCAAATCAAGTACATAGTGTACCAGTTTTGATGCTTGGGTAGCTAAATCAGGTGAATACATATATTGCTACAGAATCTAAAATATATATGGAAGCTGTGAACTCTAATTAAAAAAGTAACTGGAAATTAAGAGTAGCAATCTTTACTAACAAAGGAAATTTGGGTTCTTGTAAATAGCGGGATTTACAACTTTGAGTTCCAAGCTGTTATTATAACAGAATAGCATTGCTGTTCCCTGATATGAAGAGATAATGAAAGAGTACAATAAACTTGATAGTTTCTTTATTTTGATTCCATGAAGTGGAAAAGGCTTGACTGATAATCATTTGATGATAATATACAAACTAAGCTAAGCTACTATACATTTGATGTTTATCTTTATTGCACTTTCGTTCACATATTGGTGCCAATTCTATTATACCTCTTCTAAACTAAAAACATCAAAACTTGAATTGGATTTGTTTTAATATTATTCTGTAGAGTAATGTAATGAAAGAAATACAACTCATATACTCCTGTACTATAATAGAATAAGTTCAGTAAACCTAGATATTTATTGAAATTGCAAATGCAGTGTGACAGGATTGAAATACAATTTAGTCATAGAATGTGCAACAGAATTGACGACTAATGGAATATTTGATGTGAATCTTCTGTTTCAGGGTAAATTATGTTTATTGGCATAGCCAAAGGTAATGTGTTTTGTAATTTCATAGATTGGTAATAATTTTGGTTACAGAGATATCTCTGGGTAGATAGGTTGT